ATTGCACCAAAAACCAGACATTTGCAGCTAGAATAGTCATTTACCACATTAGAAATGTATAGAGTGTATTTCTTTAAAGTTAAGACTAGTTAAAAGTTATCTTCATTGAAAAGTACAGCGCTTTAAAAAAATAAGGACATTTCAATGTGACCCCAAACTTTTGAACAGCAGTGTATATATATATATATATATATATATATATATATATATATATATATATATATATATATATATATATATATATATATATATCCACTGTGAGATCAATAAAGTCTGATAAAATCTTATCTAATCTTAAATGTTAGAAAACCTTTTTTGGTTGTTTCCAATGAAACTAGATCAATGAGATACACATCAGGCAGCAGGAGAGCTGCTAAGAATGCAGAAATGCTGAGTCAGCATTCGGTCATGAGGCTTAAGTGAACCAATCAGGACGGGAGAAATAAAAGAGGAAGAATTGATCTAGATTCCCTTTGTGTAAAGGGATAGTTACGCAGCAGTACTTTACAGAAGTACTTCTGTCTAACTGATTGGTCATTTGTGGTGACTGTGGAAATGTGTCATTATGACGAAAGTCAGAAAAAAACACGAAAAGAGGTCTTATGATTGATATTTATTGAGATATTAAGATAAATGTAAGAATTCACTTGTTTTGAGTTCAATTTTTCTTTGCAAATTTTTTTGTTCTATATTATTATCATCATTCTCCATGGCAGAACCTGATCCAGGGTCAGACATCATGCAGTTTGCTGCTCCTCAGGTGGAATATTTGGAGACGGACGCTGCTCTGAATATTTCCACAGATCCTGGAACGTTAGCAGCTGAATTTAAAGAGACAGCGTTTTTTAATACCTTAATTCTGTGAAAGTCTCAACACATCAACAAATGAAAGAGTTCTCACAGAGTTATTAGTTTATAAATAAATAGGCGGCGGTGTACCTGAAGGAGGACGCCATGTTGAGCTGCCATCTTTGATCAGAGCAGGAAGAAGAGGACAATTTGTGAGAGTACGGCTGGGAGGCAAGAAGAAACAACCGTAGATCATTTTACAAAGAAAAGAAGTGATAACCAGGAGGAAGCAGGCATGGATTCCAGCGTAGCCACCTTTCAAACCAAGCTAGTCTGAATCTAGTGACTTTCTTTCTCCCATGTTGATGGAGACTCTGGTGAAAACATGAAAGCATGAGTCACTCTGAGTTTATCAGCCAGGCCTTGGTGAGCGAAACAGCCACAGGGACTCTAATTAATCTGCAAATGTAATAATTCCAACAAACGTAACAGAAATATGATCCTTTTAAACTAACAACCCTGCCAACATATTTCCCACAAGTAGCTGCTGCCTACTGCAAACATTTGCATATTCATTAACTTTGTGATAACTTTCTGAAAACATTCTAATATAAAAACTGTTAGACACACACTGCAAAAAATCAAGAAATAAGTAAAGATTTATTAAATTAAGTGTATTTACCCCTTAATTTGAGCAGGTAAATGAGAGGATTTAGCAATGGAATGAGGATTTTTACTCTTAAAATAAGATAATTAGATAAAATGCTCTTAAAATGAGACACTGCAGTTGTTTGTTCTTATTTTAAATGTAAATTGTCTTGTTCCATTGGCAGAGTGTCTTACCTACCTCCTCAATCCAAGAAAAAATTTACTTATTCTAAAAAGAATTACTTATTAAGAGTTCAATATTTTTAAAGTGCAAGAACACAGAGAAATTTGATCCAACATAAACTACAAATCAACGATTAAAAACCTTTTCCTGTTCCCTCTTGAATTGGATTCTGTCGGTTCTTTTATTGCTCTTTCAATTTAAAACCAACAATAAAAATAAAAGACAATAATAACATAATTTTCTTACTTAATAGACCTACAGAAAAATGTTCCTTTTTTATTGCCATACTTGATTGAATTGAACCCCAGTGGGCCTCAGCAGATGGCCGCTCACACTGAGCCTGGTTCTGCTGGAGGTTTCTTCCTGTTCAAAGGGAGTTTTTCCTCTCCACTGTCGCTACAAGCATGCTTAGAGTGAGGGATTGCTGAAGAGTCAATGAGCTGGTTTTCCTTAGATAGAAAACTTCGTATCAATCTGACTGGATGATCTGGTTGAACTGGAAAGTGCCTTGCGATGACATGTGTTGTGAATTTGGCGCTATAGAAATAAACTGAACTGAATTGAATATATGATTTTATATAGGAGAGTAAAGCTGCAGCCTTCCTCTGCTTCCAGGCTCTCAGGGTGTGTCTGGTCCTCTTCAGCTCTACTGGCTTCATCCACCCTCCAACTCCTATTCCATCGAATCCGCCAAGTTCTGCACATCTGATCACCTCCAATGAGCCGTTCATCAATTCACCCACCTCTCTTCTGCAGCTCTGTCGCCTCGTTAGGCACATCAGTTCACCTGAGCTGCTCCTTACGTACAACATCACTCATTTTAGAGCTCATACTGAAGCACATTTGCTTTTCCATTGGCGGGCAGCAGGACAGGTTTGCTGCTGGGTCGGTGTTCAGGTCACACCGTCAGACTGGAGTCTGATCCGATTGTTCGTTCGACTCCAGCTGAGGTCGAATCTGGATGGTTTCATGAGAAACACTGTGAGCTTTATTTAGGTGGGATTGATGCAAGACGGACAGACCTGCAGCCTCAGAGGACACAGGGATGGACTGGACATGCATGTAAGGTGGAGATAGAGTCACCTTATAAAAAAACATATGTATTTTTATAAATAAAGGCATTTTCTTCATCCAAATAATTTTTTTTTAGATTTGTTAAAACAGTTTTCCTCCATAAGCCTTAAAGTCATTACAAGAAAAAATGAGGGAAACATCCAGAAACCTTGTTTTTACTGTGAGAGGAAGGAGCATGTGAAGCTCCAGGAGCTTCATCCACATTTTTAATCAGCGCTTTTTGCTTTGAGCTTTAAAATCTTTTCATTTTTCTTTCCAAAGATTTTAACATTTTTAATTTAAAGTAGAAATCAAGCTTAATTTGGTAAATATTGTTGCAGGGATCAGTTTGAGGCTGATTACTCATCATTCCCAGATCCAAACCTGAAAACCTCAAATATATTTATACTTTAAAGCTCTTTTCGCTTCCTCTATTTATTTTTGTTTTTTTTTACAGACAAAAATATTTAGTCCGTTATTATCTTTAATGGACTTCATGTTTCATTTTAAGGTGAGAGGAAGGAGTAACTGGAGCTTGAAATCAACAGTAAAATGATTATAGAATATCAGCTAAAAGCTAATATTTAGAATTCCACTGGTCTCCAAGGCAACTGCTG